ATCATTCCGAACGAAACACTCGTTCGCCGCCGCCGCCTTTCACCGGCAATTCGGTGCACTGCGATTCTTGCGAGCCGTACGAACGCTATCGTCGGCCAAGGAGCAGGATCAAAAGAGAAATAAATTATATAGACCCGAGAGGAACAAATCGCCGGTACGTGTTCGAACGGGGGAAAAAAAGAAGCCAGTCGATACCTCCAACCTACTTTCCTCGAGAACAGGGAGACGGGGGAGAGAGAAAGAGTGAGAGAGAGAGGAGGGAGAGGAGGGCGAGCAGTAACAGTATATCGCCCGAGAGATCCTGTTCGACGTAAAATTACAAATGACGCGTATTTCTCTTGAAAGTCCTGAAAAGTATAGAGGAGGCCGCCGGAGGGCCACGATACTCCTCTCCGCTTGTTATCGGAGCCGCCGTTTGCCAGAGAGAGAGAGAGAGAGAGAGAGAGAGAGAGAGAGAGAGAGGAACGAAAGAGGCGAGAGAGGGAGACAGAAGGCGACGGGGAGAGAGAGGGAGAGAGAGGGAGAAATCGAGATCGAGGGAGAAAGAGAGATTTAGGAAACGAGAAAGAGAAAGAGAGACATAGAAAACGAGAGGGAGAAAAAGAGAAAGAGAGACGCTAAAAACGAGAGAGTAGGAGAGAGAGAGAGAGAGAGAGGAGGAAGAGAGACATAGAAAGCGGTCGAGAGAGGGAGCATAGAACGCGAATAGAAAGAGGAAGAAAGAGAGACAAAAATCGAGAGAGAGTGAGAGAAGGAGAGACGCGATAGGAAGAGGAAGAAAGAGAGACACCGATGGCGATAGAAAGAGGGAGAGAGACGTAGAAAGCGATAGAAATCGGGAGAAAGAGCGCATTCGCAGGACGCAGCGCCGACTCGTTTTCGCGGCGCGATGTGATAAAACGTCACTTTTCGATGGGTACTAAAAGATGCATCGATAGCGGAAGCTGCAGGGGGCACGCGAAGCTGTCGGAGAATCCAGCGCAGGCATTCTCAGCATCGCAGTAACTCCGAAGCCTGGAGTATCCGTGAACAAAAGCGTCGAATCGCGTGCTCCTCGGGAAAGGAGGCGTCGAGCCGCGCGCTTCTTGCCGAATTGCAACATCCACCGGCGGCGAATCTCGAATCGCGGAGCGTGTGTCGGCGGAATTTTCTTCTCCTGCGGAAGCGCGACGGTGCACGGACCGTGCAAAGGAAATTCTGTACGCGATCGCTGCTTAATACCGGAGCTGCGTTCTATGCTGATTTTCGCGAGACGTTTGCGCGACTACGTATAGTCAAAATGATTGGTTTCTTATTTCTTTTTTATTGTACAGTTCCCGATATGATAAAAATGCTTATGGGAGAAATGTTTGCATCAATTTACTTATCCGAGCATATATTATCGTAGAAGTTGCACCAAGTTTACTTAAATTCAATCTTGCCATTGTTATAAAACAATACAGTAGAACAGATACAGATTTTTTTCTTTCACAGTTCCTGATATTTGAAAAGTGTTTCTAGGAGGAACTTTTAGATCGGCATCTTTATTCAAGCATATATTATCATAAAAGTCGCACAAAGCTTAAATAAACTTGATCTTACCATTGTTATAACGAAACTGCGGATTTGTTGTAATTATGACAAAAATGAATAAATCAAATGTAAAATTGTAAGATCATTGGAAGAATTTGAGAATATTGCAACATTATTTTCAACTTGTTATAATTATTAAAGGAAAAAAGACATTTTCAAATAATTTAAATTTCTTATAATTAACTGAAACAATTTTTATTTTGCATAAAGATCCGCAGTCTAGCTATAATACAATACAGTAGAACCTTCGTTATACAAATTAATTGTCCGTTATACAAATTAAGTGTCCGTATGAGAGAATTTTTCATACGATAGCACTCAGTTTGATTTAATAATCAAGACAAAATGAAAAAAGAACGTTTGTAAATTATACACAATCGAAAAGAAACGATATTTTACAATCCTCCAGAGTTCTAGTGTTAACACTATGCCGTTCGGCGACACCACAGTGGTGATCTTCGCAAAGTATTGTCTGACGGCCGACGACACCACAGTGGTGACCTTCGCAAAGTATTATCTGACGGCCGGTGACACCACAGTGGTGACCTTCGCAAAGTATCGCTCGACAGCCGGCGACACCACAGTGGTGATCTTCGCAAAGTATTGTCTGACGGCCGGTGACACCACAGTGGTGACCTTCGCAAAGTATTATCTGACGGCCGGTGACACCACAGTGGTGACCTTCGCAAAGTATTGCTCGACAGCCGGCGACACCACAGTGGTGGCCTTCGCAAAGTATTGCCTGACAGCCGGCGACACCACAGTGGTGACCTTCGCAAAGTATTGTCTGACGGCCGGTGATACCATAGTGGTGACCTCCGCAAAGTATTGTCTGACGGCCGGCAACACTGCAATGGTGTCGTGCGCACGGTATCGCCCGGTGGCCGACGACAACATTTTTGTATCCTTTGCATTCTCTCGATGATCCGTGGGGTTCTGTTGTTGCTTTTGTTCCGTACCGTCTCGGTACAGTATTTTTAGCATAAAGCTGTACAGCTTTACGTGGAATAAGTTACATACGTCAGCAAGTGTTTCTTTTTATGAGTACTTGTACCCATTTATCATGGCAGACGAAGGAGAAGACACTGTTATTTACGAGGAATGCGCGGACGACTTGTCCGACGTTCCAATCAACATTGCGGATTTGGAAGAAGACATTGCAGATCCGACAAATTGAAATCAATTGAAATCAATCCAGCGGATTGAAAACTCGTGAGAACTACCGATGAGATTAAAAAAGCTTGAAATTTATCATCTGCCAATAATCTCAAAAACAGCCGGCGACAAGCGAAGTAACAGAGTTAGTGGTGCCGGCGCCAAGCGAAGAAATGTTTAAAAACAGTGCGACCGGCAAAGTGTTAACAAGGATATGCAAGATGCAAGAAAGATTTAGAAAATATAAGAAAACTCTATTCGGTAGAGAATTCGGTAGAATAGGACAACAGTGATCAGACAGCGCAATCTTATTTAATGACGCGCCTGTGGAAAGCGACTCGAGTTAATTTTTGTGGAAACATATTGTGCCAGGATTCAGAAAAATGCTATTCTGCGTTCCGGTCGTAAACCTCCATGTAGAATGAACATTTTATAAATTGTACTGCCAGCGGGGCAATATCTCGTAGAAAAATGAATGCAGAAAGTTTCGTGAAAAATTGCTAAAATCTACTCGGTATCAAGCATACTAGATGAATTTTAATTAAAAGATCGCGAGATTCGTCATAGTAAAATATCTGGAACAAGAAAATTACGAAGCTCGATCCCTCGACCAATCAACCTTCAAGATCTCCAAGACAAGTGTTCCTTGAGGTTGCAAACTTTGACCTCGTTTTCTGAAACTTGCTCGGTAGCATGTAGAAGACATGATCGCGATTATGTTATATCATATATTATTACTATACATTATCCTTATACCAGTGGAAGAGAAGAAATATTGTACTTTTAACCACCTAATCGAAAATTAAATAAATAAGTAACTACATTTTTCTTCATTTTATACAACTTACGGCATGTTATATAGAAAACCGATGATTGCGAGAACGTGTTGTGCTTCACCTGCCGAAAGCATGAAAGAAAATTCACCTTGCTTTCACGATGACTCGGCGTTTATCGCCACTCATTCTTCGCTATGGGTATCCCCTCCGTTCACTCGCTAAAGCAACGAAAAACACCAAAAACCAACAATAGCTGCAAACTCCTAGTCTTTCATACAGGGTCCCGATCTAAGTCTGAGTAATTCTTTTAAAATGTCACTTCTTCGACGTATGCAACAAAGGGGTTCCCCGTTGTAGTTACTAAATAAATAAATGAATAAATAGATAAGTAAATAAAATGAATAAAAAAAATATAGAAGTCTATGTACTCATTTTAAGTCTCTACCAGGTCCAATATCTAAAAGGCTTCCCGTTGTTGTCACCAAATACATAAATAAATGAATGAATGAGTAAAATAAATAAAAAAAATATAGAAATCTATATGTACAGTAATTTCTCCGAGAAATGTTCGGAGCTCTTTTATTTGGAACTTTTTGCCACGATTCGGAAGCAATTCGGAGGTCACGTGCCACGATTCGACGGAAATTCGGAGGCCACGTGACACGTTTCGAAGGCAATTTGGAGATCACGTGACGCGATTTGGAAGCAATTCGGAGGCCACGTGCCACGTTTCGAAGGCAATTTGGAGATCACGTGACGCGATTTGGAAGCAATTCGGAGGCCACGTGCCACGTTTCGAAGGCAATTTGGAGATCACGTGACGCGATTTGGAAGCAATTCGGAGGCCACGTGCCACGTTTCGAAGGCAATTTGGAGATCACGTGACGCGATTTGGAAGCAATTCAGAGGCTACGTGCCGCGATTCGAAGGCAATTCGGAGGCCACGTGCCATGATTCGAAGCCAATTTGGAGGCCACGTGACACGATTCGACATCCAGTACCTTCCACGTACAGTAATTTCTCCCTAATTCGCGCTGAGATTGCGCACAAAAATGTACGATTTGGGAAGAGGAGATACGATTATTCGAGCATTGCGCCTCGTCTTTATAGTTATTTACAATCGGTAACTATAAAAACTAGCCGCAAAGCTCGAATAATCGTATCTCCTCCTCCCAAATTGCCTACTTTTGTGCGCAATCTCAGCGCCAATTAGGGAGAAATTACTGTACCTTATAGCTCCGCGTTTTTTTTTTTACCTCGACCCACACCCAAACAGTCCATTTTATGTTATCTTCCGGGAATTCGCATCGCGTGTCGTATAACACGCTCGACGGACTCCGTCGAGCCTTAGCATCGACGTAGCAATAAATTACATAGATCTAGCACAGGGAAATTCATAGCAACCCAAAATTTAACATTTCCAAGAGAAATCACTGTACTCGTTTCGAGCGTCTACCAGAACCAATATCTAACGAATCGGCAAATTGTCTGTATCAGAAACGAGCAGCGGAGCCATGGACCACAATCACTCCCTAGTCGACCCAGAGGACCGGCGGATCCCAGTCGACGACGACCCGAGGACCTTGAACTGGACTCTGGTCGGTGTCCCAGGCCTGGATACCCGCTCGAACGACACTGCCAACGAGCTCGCACAGCTCAGCCTATCGAACCTAGCTCCGTCGAGCCACAACGAGCCCGAGATCGCTTCGGCATCGTTCGGGGAGCTTCAGGGAGACGAGAGCGGCTCTTCGTCGGATTTCGGGCCGTCGGGCAACATTTGGGCCGAGGACGAGGACGCGGCTCTAGGAGAGGATGAGCTGGACAACCCGCGAAACAAGGCGCAGGACAGCAGCCGGGATTATTCGGTGTCGACGGGGCCGAGCCGAGCGGAAGCGTCCACTCTCGGCCCCTGGGAGGATCAAGTCCCTTGGAGAAGCGAGTTGGAAGACGTCCAGGTGGAGGACGAGGGTTTAGCCGCCGTTTTGGAGCGGGTCGACGACGAGGGAGCCGTCGAAGCTGTCCTCGAGCCGCACAACAGGGAATACCTGGATGGCGCTGTTACCTGGATCTCTGGAGTCGCCACAGACTCCAGGCCCAGCGAGCAGAGGAACGTGGAGGACATCAGGGCCATCTCGTTCCCGGTGCCCCCACCTGCCGAACAGTTCCAGGTACGAGCCCTTCGATTTTAAGATTTATAAATGTTAGAGATTTTTAAGACCATATCGATAGAATTTGCCACGGCGACTGCGAGAACTGCAAGCCAAATGGAAAACTCGTTCTTTATTCAATAATGTTGGTAGATATATGGTAGAATATGGTAGAATAATGTGATCGGTTCAAGTTATTCCGTGGTCCGATCGGAATTTTTTCGGGTCAAATAACATGAGAGCTTTAAGATGATTGTAGCAAATTCTTTGTCAACCCTTTTTCCCCGGAGTTATTAAGGCTTTCTATATGTAAACCTACAATTTTGTTTAGATTCGGAAAGAACCTTGTATTTTTTATGATGCTTGCCGAATTCGCATCAGCATCTCCTGAAACATGGCTACAAAAAATTGCAGGTCAACCTATAAAAAACTGAAGCTGACCTTGATAACTCGGGAAAAAGGGGGGAGACCAAAAATATAATCCAATCATATTCAAACTCTCTTTAAACCGTGTTATTTGAGCTGAACAAATTTCCAGTCGAACCACTGGCGTAGACTAAATTCAGCCGATCGCGTTCCGTGGTCCACCCTATATATTGGTAAGAATATCAAAGAAAGCTTCGACTTGCAAAGGGTTAACCCTTAGCGGACGACAACTTTTTCGGCCGAGTCAGATAGCAGGACGAGGCGATTTTTGCAAATATGTCGAGTGTCTTATATGGTACAATAAAATGATCTTATATATAAATATTATCTTACAAAAAAACGTTATGTTTCGTTAGTTTATCTATATTCACAATTTTATGAATATAATTTTACAAAAATTATGATTTGTAGTTTCGTTCGGTGTGATAGTTTATAAAACATTGACCAAGATGCATTCTTGGTTTATCTGTACATGTATCACAGAAACAGGTCGTCTCATGTCTTCCCCCTGGTTTGTTTCGACTGGAACAAACTTTGCAATCTTTCTTTGTGCCAGTAACAATTACATGCAGTTTCCCGTTTAGACGAATTTCGTCAGAGTTGGATGTCGAACTTGAAGATCTATCTCGTGGTTGACAAAAATCTCCTCTCAATTTGTTGATCAAAATTTGGCGAAAGTTCAAATGTGTAACTGGCTGTTCGTTTCTCTGTCTTTTTACATGTCCGTAGAGAATGTACGAATCGATTAAACAAATTTCCAGTCCCCGGAAAAATAATTTGCGCCACCACTTCAGGGACTTTCACATAAAACAGTAGATTGGATAATGTTGGAGATAACGAAATCTAACGTAAACACCGATTGTCGCCTCTTATTCGCCATTCGTCCTGCCGCGCGAAGCGCCGTGGCGACCGAGAGTCGCCTCTCGTCCGCTAAGGGTTAATAATATAAAAACATTCTCGAACTCTCCTAACGTCTTTAGAATTTTATATTCGATCCAGTTATTTTCCTCAAAAACGCGTCAAAACCGCGGTTCGATAATAATGCAGCACCACCGCCTGTAATTTTGTGCGAAGATCGAAGACGATTCGAACAGACGGGACCAGAAGGTTGGGCGAACACGCCAGATCTATTTTGCTAAATCGTTGATTCCAGGATCGGTTCGACGGTCGGCAACACGACGAGGAGCCCAGAAAAGAGACCAGGAAGGAGCACGGTAGACCGATGAACAATCACCTCCTGGGCACCGGAAAGTCCACCAAAGCCTTCTACGAGATAAAGCCCTCGATCAGGACAGAGATCGAGAACGATCAGCTGTACCCTGCAAGCACACACAGGACGCTGCCCAGGAAATTCGTGCTGCCCACCGTCGGCATCGCCTACGGCAAGTTCGGACCGTATTTCGAGGACGGGGATCAGGACGCGAACGTCACCGCGAGGATTGGCAGCACCATGCTCCTCGATTGCCGGATCGGCATGCTCGGCGACAAGGAGGTGAGTCGGTCTTCGTCTCTTTGTAGTTTCGCTTCTCGTTTTCGTTTCCCTGGATCCCGATGTTTCGTTGCCGTCGGAGAAGAGCTTCTGGCTCTGCAGGGCCGCGTCGAGCTTTCGTCGTTTCATCTACCTGAAAAATATTCTCAAAATTACAGCAATTTGACCCAGAAATGTTCGAAGGTCGGAATTAAATCAGGCAGATCTGAGAATACTAAGTCGCGATTCTTCGGGCCTCGCGGCTCGTTTTTATAGAAACTCGGGGCGATCGGCAAAAAGCCGGCATGCCGGTGTGCATTAGTATGAATACATAGTAATGCTAGAACTTAACTTTTTTATTTCTAATTTTTTGCCACGATTCGAAGGCAATTCGGAGGCCACGTGCGGCGATTCGAAGGCAATTCGGAGGCCACACACTACGATTCGACGGTTTTTCGACGGCTCCACGATTTTTCTTACCTGACTCGCATCCAAACAAACCATTTTGCGTCGTCTTCCGGGAATTCGCGTCGCGTGCCACATCACATGCTCGACCAACCCTGTCGACCTCAGCATCGACGTAGCAATAAATCACATATGCGTAGGACTAGCACAGGAAAATTCACAGCGACCCGAAATTTGGCATTTCCGGGAGAAATTGACTTATTAGTCAATTTCGAGTGAATTAGCGAGTGAATTGACTTATTAAGCATATCACTCAATTAACATGTTCGCGATAATATCTAGAAAATGATTTCCTTTCTGTCCACGTTGAATGCAGAATTCCGTGAATATTCAAAGATAATCAAGATCGTCGTCGAGCAATTATTTCTTGAAAATCACAGTTTATCTTAAGTATTATGCTCGGCGAAGCGTGTTCGGCGACCGTGTTGAATTAGTATAATTTGTTTCGCAGAAAAAAAGCTCGGTTACTTCCGCGGCTACGAAAGTTTATCTATTTTGTCGTTTCGCGTTTGTATCTCGGTCTCTCTCTCGTCCACCTGTATTATTCCGTCGCTTTTACGAGGCGGCGCGGCGTCTGATGCGGCTCGCGAAATGGGATGGACGATGGAACATGATGAAAAACCGGCTGCAATGGTCTTGTTATATTTTTATGATCTCCCGCGCTGCACGATAAAAAGGTCCCGCGATGATGAAGCGACGGGCGAGAACTTGTTTCCGGTTTGATCCATCCCCCGTGCTTTCGGCGGACGCAAGAAATTGTTCGGTCAATTTGCTAATCCCTGTATTATCCATTTCTGCGCGGCGCAACCATAATTGCCTACGACGTTCAGAAATATTCACTGCCGAAGCTTTCGGCGCGTACCATTCGTTCGTGTTGTTATTAATTTGTTACTTGGTCTGAATCGGTAAAAATTTGCGTCACGAGAAACGGTGCAGGACGTCGTAAAGAAGACAAATTGCTTAAATAGTAAAAATATCGATGAGAATAAAAACTTGACTGAAATATAAAGTAAAGTACGATGATCACTAGACCGCGGATTTCACGCATTTATTGTTAAAACAAATACCTGAAATACAGAGTGAAATACAAAGTAAAAATATCAGAAAAATGTAAGAGCATTATTTTGGATTATTTTTACTTTGTATAAATTTATTTAAAAAAAAAAATACATTCTTGTCAGTCTCCTGGTTTTCGCAATTGATGCCGAATGATAATAACTTTATCTTTAACTGCAGAGAATGTTAAAAAATATCACGAAAGTGGCATCGAAGAAAATAATAATTAAGTATATTACGCAGAATATGAGTATTGCGTAGATTTTAATTCCGGAATTGCGATTAATATACAAACGGATGTCGGCGGTAAATGTTGGAGTCACAGTTCCTCGTGATTCCCGAAGCCGTCGATACTGCTTTTTAATGCGTTCAGCAGGAAAACCGGGATGTAATGTAACGATGATGGATGAGATCGTAACTTACGATTCCCTGCGTTCCCCGGCGACTGAAATATTCGGTTTCCTTCAATCAATGATATTGATATTGATGCGAGCGAGTCGAACGTCGCAATTACTCTGCCGCAATTTTCGTCCCGTCGAATCGTTCTGCACGCAGAAACGCGTACTTCTTTGTCGGGCGGGGAATAATAATTCATTAGCGCCGCTTCATCGCGCGGAACATGGTCACCTTAATTTCACGATTCATACAAATTCGATAAAAATCAGGTACATTGTGACCCTTGAATATATTAACAATCAACCGCTTCGAAACAGAAAACTGCGTCGCTCGATTCTGGATTTTATGCGTTTACCGCTTCAATGAGCCAGGGAAAGTTTAAAACAATAGAAATAACAAAAGATCGCGAGAAAACGATTTAATGCGAAAGTAAATTGCTGTGCATTTTCTGCCGCTTGTAATCGATGCGATCAATTTTTATTTGCGATCGAGGGTTCAATAATTTGAGAAATATTTAACGATAAAGGAATCATCGAAATGCTAATTTTCCAGCGGTTATTTTAATCCGTTAGCCGTTATCATTAATTCCAAGAAGACTGTCGACATTAGTCTCGCACAGAGCTGGGCATTATTCGGATTGTTTCGAATAAATAATTCATTATTCGTCGTAAATTATTTTACGTATTTATTCAAATGAAAGATTATTCGAATAATTTCTTATTCAAATAATTTAACAAACTCTTTATTCGAATGATCTTTTATTCGAATAACATTCTATTCGAATAATTAATGACTCGAATAATTTCTTATTCAAATAATTCAACAAATTCTTCATTCGAATAACTTTTTATTCGAATAATTTCTTATTCACACAAATAATTCAAGAAATTCTTCATTCAAATGATCCTTTACTCGAATAACTTTTTATTCGAATGATCCTTTATTCGAATAACTTTTTATTCGAATAATTTATGATTCGAATAACTTTTTATTTGAATAATTTATGATTCGAATAACTTTTTATTCGAATAATTTATGATTCGAATAATTTCTCATTCAAATAATTCAACAAATTCTTCATTCGAATAACTTTTTATTCGAATAATTTATCGTTCGAATAATTTCTTATTCACACAAATAATTCAAGAAATTCTTCATTCAAATGATCCTTTACTCGAGAGAGAATCGTTCGAATAATTTCTTATTCACACAAATAATTCAAGAAATTCTTCATTCAAATGATCCTTTACTCGAGAGAGAATAACTTTATATTCGAATGATCCTTTATTCGAATAACTTTGTATTCGAATAATTTATGATTCGAATAACTTTTTATTCGAATAATTTATGATTCGAATAATTTCTCATTCAAATAATTCAACAAATTCTTCATTCGAATAACTTTTTACTCGAATAATTACGTTGAAAAGTAAATCAAGTAAAACTGATGCGCACGCGAATTTGAACGAATATAATCATAGCCGACGGGGGAGATCGTGGAAAGCATTTACCTCGGAAGGAACGAAGTTGATTAACGGCCCGAGTCGCATTAATTGAGCGACCACATCCGCGCTACCGATCACAATTACCAATTCCACGGGTCGATCGATTAGAGCACCGTTGTCTAGAAAATGTGGGACAGGAGGCGAGGCGATCGCGAGGCGTTTCGTCTGTCGCGGCTGTCGCGGAAGTTTTCGCGCGGTAATCAGCGTCGGTTTTCATCGGATCCTGCGCTCCGCTCGATCCTCCTCTTCCCTTCGCGCCTCTTCTCGCCGCTCCGGCGGTCGCTTGGGATTCCAGATGGATTCATATTCCCCGGAATACGTAATGTGAAACCGATTCCGACGGCAGCCGTGCCAAAGTACGAAAAGGAGCGGCCGTCCGTGCGCATCGATACGCCCCGCGAATATCAAGCGAGTTTATGCAACTGCCGTCGCGTCGCGTCGCGTCGCGTCTCGACTCGTCTCGTCTCGTCTCCGCGAATTTAATCGCGAAACAACGGGGCATCTGGCCAATTTCTTTCATCTTTATCGCGAACGTTTCTACCAGGAACGACTCGTACCAGCATACACTTTCGGTAATTTGTCGCTGCGGACTTTTATGAGCAGCGAACAGCCGCGCGAACATTTACCGTTCATCCGTCTGTTCCGTCGCTTTTGCGCTAAACAGAATTCTCGTCACAAAAGTAAATTCTTATCGCTTGGCGCGTGTTCGTATCGCTTTCATCGCCTCCAGAATTTTTATTTCACGTGCTATTTTATTTTTTCAATGCCACGTGCAGTTTCGATGTTTATTAAATAGCGAACGATAACGACTACTAGGTATTTATTAGCATATTCATAAGTAATAAATTTATAACATGAATATGTGCATTTAAACTAATTTTCGTCGAGTTTTTTTGAACAATAATAATGATTTCTTAAAATACATTTTGAAGTAAATCAACGTTTATTGTCATGAAATTATTTAACAACAAATCTTAGGAATAATTATACATTTTGCCAAGGTTTATAAATATCTAATTGACCTATAAATATACGTACAAAAAGGCTCAATGTAAAGTTGACAATACATAAACTGCGGATCTTTGTGCGAAATAAAAATTGTCTGCATTAAATGCAAGCAGTGGGTTTGGAGATTAATTTTTTAGAATAATTAATTTTCTAATCATTTCGAGATTAATTTCCTGCTTTAATAACTTTGACAAGTTGCAAACAATGGAATAGCGTCTCCAAATTCTTTTAAAGTTCGTCCGCAGTGTATTTGACGTATCCATTTTTATCATAAGCGCGTAAAGATCCGCAGTCCCCGATAATAAACAATGAATCGGTAAATTGTTAGCAACGTCGTTCGAAATTTTTCGAAATTCTCTGAAACATAAATAACCGAGGTAACAATTTTTACACAATTTCAGTATTTCCTCCGTTGATCGCAGCTCGCTGAAAAATTCCATTTCGACAAACCGTTTCGCCAAAGTTTTCCGCAAAGCCTGCATAAAAATCCGTCGGCTAATTAATAACTGAAAGCCACGAAGCTGTCGGAAGCGACGCGCGAGTGGAACTAACGATGCCATAAGCCGGTTCATCTAAGTTTTTCGATCCCGTCGG